GTATGCCATGTGAAATCCCACAAGATTTTACAAGACAACAAAGTGAAGTGACAGTAAAAGTTGGGATCTTTCATTACAGACTAAAGTAGGGGATTAAACCTGAGGGAATGAACCCTGGAGGTAGATCTGCCTGCATGATGGTCTTTTAAGTATTAGGGTGGAAAACATGAGTGAAAAATGAGTGGAAAATATGCATTGCATTATCTGTCTGTGCCTTGCATCGGAGGTTTCTTAAAGCAGTAAATATGGAGAACATCTGGCCCTCAACTGCGGCTAAAAAGAAAGGTGAGCACAGGTTGGGGACACTTTTTCTGGAATTTTTTTTATGTCTCGGTGAGGAGAAAGCGCAGGCTAAGGAAATGCAGCGATGTCACTATTATGATGTCTCTTGGCTGGGGTCTTAGTTCACCGTAAGAATAACCAGCCATTTCCCAGGGCTTCTTGAACTTCAGATCATTTTTTATTTACACGTCTCTTTTTTGGCCAGAAACTGAACAAAAAAAGATTGATATGCATCCATTCCAGTTAGACATTAGATCAACCGGATCAAGTGTAACTAGAAACAGCCTCACAAAGCCGAGCCAGGCACTCAGTATATCAGCAGATGATCAGCTGTCTGAGGAATAATGATAGAAACACTTTTCAGCTAATGTGAATAAGAGCTTTCTGCAACTCTTCATCTATCAATGAGCCATCAGTGTGCTTCATCTGAGAGCTGTATAACGCTGGGTTCACACTAGATGCTGAAGCGTCGCGAAGCACACCAATTCTTCGTGGAGTGCTGCCCTTTTGCTTTTGGTGCCCATGTTAACCGATTGGGCTGTTTACACTGGGGGTGCGATTAGACAGAGCGCTGAGCGGCCTGGCCGGCTCACGATCTGTAGCAATAGTTTCGGCGTCTGGTATATTTTTTACGCAACCTACAAGCAAATCTGGCAAGAAAACACACTGCCAATCCATTTTAAACAATATAATATTAGATATGATATAAGAGATCTGACTTTGATAAATGATAGAATAAGCATATGCTTCCACATATTTGTCACTTGTGTCTAAACACAGAGCAGGGGACGAGCAGCACCACACACTCCCTCTCCCTCTCACACACACACAAGCAGACAGAGACAGAGCTCTACATGTGATTTAAAAGAGCAGAGAGCAGAATTGCTTGCTGACTGGTGCAGAGAAATGCGCGTCTGGTTTGAACGGCGAGGTGACTGCTGACAGGCAGCTGCGTGACAATTCACCAATCAGGGCGCTTCTGCATCAAAAATGCAAAATCCTCTTTTAAATTTCATGCAGTTTTATCTCAATATGCTGAGATTTTCAGAGGTCTTCCTCCCTCTAAGAGGTCCTGAGAAAAATAGGCCACAGTGAATGTTGTTTTCAGTCACTGATCGAGAACAGCCTTTTCCCTTCGGGTGGACAGACAAAAAGGTAGCTATGCAGTGGTGGCGGCACATGACTGTGCAGCTGTGTGCTAACTGCATTCAGAAAATTGCCTAACACTGGAGCAGACAGTTAATTCAGTAAATGACAGCATTGCTGGTTACTGATTGGTGTGACTAGGCAAGTTATTTTCATGTGCAACTATTTGTCCTAAGAAGGACAACGACAGGAACAAATTAAACACGAATCCTGAATAAATACTAAAAGTAAATTGAAAGCATGAGGTCCAAAAGTTCCAATATTTTTTTCTTTTTTAATCCAATGGCTCTCACTCAGTCATTATATGTCAACAAAACATAAATCCCTTCTTAGGAACATGTAACTTTTAGCATGCTTTGATTTTCAGGAAGACTTCTCACAGCTCTTTCTTTAGCTGCAGACCCTCTGGAGCCCTCCAATTTTTTCATACATTTGTGAATTTTACGACTTCAATCTGGTCAGATCTCGACAGGTTCACATAGCATTAGATGCTATTTTAAACAGAACAGAAACAGACAGTCGATGGGGGAATAACCATGTGAAAAAGATCTCATTGACACATGATATCATTCTGAAGAGAAAAGCTACTGCACTAAAGGGAAAAGGTTTTGAAATTTGAGCATTTTTTAAATAAATATGAATAGATTTCCATGTGGAAATAATTTGTCATGGTATTATACTGGAACTATAATAGGTGTTCCCATTTGTGTCCTAATTTATCATATAAATCTCAGTTTGATGGAGCACTATCTTCAGCTATCACCTGGTACCTGTGGTGGACAAACAATAAACGGTCAGTCAGTAGTGCCAACCTTTCTGCTTTGACTGCATGTCCTATCAAACAAAACATAATGTGCAAAAGTACTGATGGGGAGCAAGCATGCTCTGACTGATGAAGTGTGTCTTCAAACTCTGCAGATTACTGTGATTCAGCCAGTGAATGGCCATGGATCAAACTTTCCACTTTCAAACCTGGAAATCTGAATGTATCATTGTGCTGCAAAGTTTAACTGAATGAAGTTACACAGATGGACACGCAGATTTAAAACATGTGCCTCAAATCCAAAAGACAGTCAGCGAGAAGTCTCATGAGACGTCCAGCAGAGGTTGTGATATTATATTTTAAAAGGCTTAGTTTGCAAATCCACTTGCTTTGAACAGTTCCAAAGGAAAATCATTAAGTGGACAATAAAACATTTCCAATGGGAATGTTGCGCTGCAAGAAATGCTCTGGAGATTGTGAGAGGATGCTGGTATAAAGTAGAGCTGTAAACTTTGATTTCTTATTTTCCTGTAATGGCAATTCAAGATAGACGAATGTCTTTCTTTTGTATTAAGCTTTACTTTACGGATTCTTTGGCGAGACTCCTACAGTCCCTGAATTTCTATGAATATCTAACAGTTTATGACTTGGACAAACTTTCACATCCAAAACATACACAAGGACATAAACGTCCGTGGACAGCTGCGGTCACGTGGATGTAGACATGCACGTGCACTTGATTCCATTCATAGTCAGCGTGTGCTTTAGCCGCCAGCAGCACACGGGAGGGCTGGCGGGTAAACTTACCGCCCTCCTACTCACAGCATCAGGTGAAACTGTTGCTGGGTCCAGAGTAAATGGCTGTAGAATATTCAACTTGAAACCAACTTTACCGTGGTGTGGCAGTTGTGGCTGGCTTGACTGCCATGTTTTAGACTGGACTGGAGCGGTTATCAAGAGATTGGATTATGTAGCTGGCTCACTTGCTAAGTGTACAGTCCAGGCGATTCAAAAAATGGGCTGAACATGGACATCCACAAAGGGGTCTATGCGGACATGGGTGGACGATGACACTTGTGTCACGTGAACCAAAGCGGACCCCCACAGATATGCAGATGCAGAAACTATGAAATGTCCCTTAGACTGACAGTAGGTAATGCAAAGAAAACAGCTTTAGATACAACTGGATACAACCTGAAATAAAGAGATCAGAAACTGAAGCATTAAAATATTTCAACATTTGATGCTCACACAGTACCACTAAAATGTTGTCCCTTTCAATAAAGGGCAACAAAAATGGCATACCAATAAACTACAGTGGATCCAGTTAGAAACTGTGTAATCAGTCAACAGGACTGGAAAGCAGTTCCTGGAGTGAACCCACACAGCCTTGTATACATCTTTTGTTGACTGTTAAACTGTGCAGCCAATCAGAGGCTGGAACAACCCTGCAGGCTGCCGGTCAAAGACATGGATCAGCACAGTGCACAAAGCGAGTCACTAGATCCCACAGGGTTATGGCACGATAGAGCGGTAGTCATTATCTGATTGGACTATAAACTGGCCACCACTGGTTAAACCCACAGAGCGATTTGGGGGATATTCGTTTAAATGAAAATGGTACTGGTCCAGGAGGCTAACATTTAGAAAAAACGTTTGTTGTCTCAGTGGTGTTTGTAGATGCCAGCAGCATTTTTAGTTAAGGTTTATAGACACTGACATCTCAGGGTGTTTTGTAAGCAATTTTAGTATTCTGTGCAGCACTTATAGTCAAAGAAACAAGGGTAACACACCCTGAAAAATGCACACATAATTACATACAAATCACCTTCCCATATCACAGCTACAAAAAGTTAGCTTCTCATTATTTCAAGCTCAGTCATTATATTGAATTCTTTTCTGGCTACTCCTTACTGACGTACAAATTCACCCTCCCTGAACTCTGGGATGGGCTCAGTAAGCCCTGCTATGTGACCTCAGCCTGAGGATACCATTCCTTCATTACGAACACTTGGAGTGCAGAGCAAATAGAGATGGTGCAGACCTGTGCGACCAACTGACTCTATGAAATATTAGTCAAAATTATCTATGTATGACTTTCAAACCATGCAATGCCATTTTAATCACATCACACAAAACAATACATCAGTATTCTACTTGTTATCACAAAGTGCTTTCAGTATTTGCTGTATCCTAAATACCTATATTCACTTTGTAAATGTGTATTTTACAACATTTCCAAATATAATTTACATAAAATACACATCTTCGCAAAAACTCCTAGAATAAGACTTGAGAAATGGAGCAAGTCTTGGACAGGAGTTGATGTGACCTCTGACTGACAATGCTTTTCACTCTGACCTCTTATCTTTGCTTTTAGACAGTTGTCTTTCACCCCAGGTCAAGATGCTCAAGATAAAAATTAAACTGATGTGCATACACAATGAGGAGAGGAGTGTAGGGTAAACACACATTAACACTGTTGCCTGTATGCATGTTCCCTTGGGTGTTTATGCAGAGTTAACATAGGTCAACATCTCAAAAGTAAAAACAGCCTTTGGTTTTCCTTCAGCTGTCTGATACCTGATGTCACTAAGTGCAGGTGAAAGTGAAAGTAAGAGATTTACTGAATTTGTACAAAATATTTACTCTGGTCAACAGCTTACTGGATTGTAGAGAAATATGACTTTACCTAAGATGATGGAGTCTTTTAGTTTTAGGAGTTGGGGCATTGAATGCATGGTAGACGATTAACAAGAGAAGGGAAATAATAGAAGTACAATGACAAAATGTTAAAACAGGTTCTTACCTCTGGTGTGGCAGGGTTGAAAGTCACACTCAGTACAGTGTCTGAGTGTTTTTGAAGTTTGTGGAGGTACCTGCTGCTACGGATATCATACACGTAGGCCTGAAATGAATGAGATGGACTACATGAACATAAGCCAGCATGAACTGTAACCATGTAGTGATGCACTGATGTAGAACTTACATAAAATTAGTTTGGTTGATCCAACTAGTGATGCTGACAAGTATGATAAATAAAATATGTGTAACAGAAAATTAATAACTGTGAAGTATTGGAAGTTGACATCAAATATTCTTTCTAAACTGCTTGTGTTAAGGCCACCTAAACATGGATGCACAAAGCAGTTGGAGATATTTTGATAAAGGAATACTTCAACCCCCAAATTACCATTTGTATATGAAGCACTCACCCCATGTTATGTTAAATATGTGAAGAGAACTTTGTTCTTCTTGCATCTCGCATGTGTGACTTTGGAGAATCTGAACAAACCCTTTAAAACACCAAAGTCACACAATAACACAAACAAACTAATTGAAGCAGTGGTAAACCAGCAGCTCCCTTGTTCAGTAACGTTAAATTACTGTTTTTGTCAATAGAGTCTGGCCTTAATGAGGGCGTAGAGCACTTTCCGTGCAGTTCCCTGTCCGAAAGGGCTGTCTGTTTGGGAAGTACTGAGCATATGACTAGACAAAAGAGACTTGGATTATATTGCATGAGTTGTGTGAGAGTTTGTAAACAATGCTTTGATATAATTTTGCTGCTGTTTAACACGGTCGCTTATCACTTCATTTCATCAAGAATTTTCTCCATTTTTGGGGCGCTCAGTAGCTCAGTGGAGAGAGCAGGTGCCCCATGTACAAAGGCAGTGTCCTTGCTGCAGGAGCTGCGGGTTTGATTTCAGCCCGTGGTCCTTTGCTGCATGTTGTCTAAAGTCTCAGGTTGTATCCAGCACCTAGAATCACTGATTGGTGCAGTCAGAAGTCTGCTCTGTTGCACCTGTAACCATGCCCAACAGTGATGCCACAATGCAATGATACACTCTGAAGGACACTTCATCCCTCCATCTGGGCCACAAGTTAAACTGGAGAGCAAAACGTTACAGCTCATATCAAGTTGCTCGTTAAATGGAGAAAAAATGCTAAAAACTATTAAACAGATTGTACAAGTTTAAAACTAAGACATCAAAACACACTCAGTAACTCAAATACTGAGCACTACAAGATTAAGTTGCCATTGAGACAGATTAACAATCCAAATGACGACTTGGGGATTTAATAGTTATTTTCTGCTTTGAGGTAATAAAAGCATCACTTATCATCCCTTAACTTGTGGGTGTGGATTTCACACTCGGTCTTGGGTGCACAAAACGACATTTGCATACTGCTAATTGAAAGATCTTTAAATCAACACTTAAAACAAAACTCTTTCACTAGATACTTAATGTGTTATCAGCTTGTTAGCACAGTCTTTTTTTTTAAGTACAATCAGTGAGTTTTAAGGCCCATTCGTTTGCTTCAGTGCCATGAGCACAGATAAAACAGATGTGGAGATGTTTGTTACCAGACGACGACTCATCAGATTCCTGCAGCTGTTCTGAATTATGTTTCCCTGAAATACGCTTCAAATAAGCTCTGTCAAATGGTCCACGGGTAGAGTGTCTCCTGTCTAAGGCACATGACGTGTGTGGTGCCTAACAGGGCATTAGATACTTGGAAGAAAGAGGTTTTTTCAGGAATGGTTAAATATCATGCGGATCTGCAGATGTATCAGTTTATATCAACTGTAACTGAAGCGGAGAGCAGGAGCAAAAGCGTCTGGGGTTTGAAAACTGACTCTAAACACTGAGCATACATCTTGATTAGCAATTTAAAAACGAGCACTGTTATCCTCTGAATAATCAATCTCATGTCAGATGATAAGAGGGGAAGTCAAAACGTGTAAAAATAACACATATTTCAACTGAACATACAACAGGTTAATATTGACCACACTGAAATCATATTCCACAGATTGTTTTTGGCTTCCTGTTTTTTGGAAAATGTGTAATATGATCTAGGGAGTCTTTTTAAAGTATTCAGGCTCTTTTTTTCCATGATTGCTTTTTGATATATTAAGACAAGTACAAATGTGTCTGGCTTATGGAAGTCTCAGGGCAGCTACAAATAAATACGCTGCAGCTCACTACCATACACTCTCCCAATTTCCAAGAAGCGTTGGAAATGTCCGATCTCGACAGAGATGCTCTCAAATGTCCGTGCCGTGCTGAGTCCCCATAATTAATAATAACCAGCGGCATGCATATATTATTCCACTGCTTTCAACAAGCACATACACCAGGAGAAAAGAGAAATGGATAAGGAAAAGGGGGGCAGTCTTCTGAAAACGTTTTTGAAAGCAAGTATAAGGCGCAGTCTGGAAAAGCAATTAAACAGTGATGCCTCTACATGAATGTTGAATTTGACTTCTATGGAAAAAGGCCTGAGTCCAAATAAGAATCTCTGAGTCAAGCACAAACACTCCTAACCTTAAATGGAGGTGAAACTGATAAAGATATGCTGCTTATTTCCTGGTGCTCTTCCCCTTTACAACGAAAAGTTAGATATAAATGATATGCAGCATATATAAATAACTTATTGTTGTAAGTCAGAATACTTTAACGTTAATACCTGCATCACTGCTCTGAAATCAATAAAACCAAAGCGTTTTTAGGTGGCTTTGATGGACAGACCCCTTAACTGCTTTATCACCCCATTAAGTTTTACAGAAATGAAAAAAAATACCTATTATTATAGTAATCCTGTCGAATTATGCTCAAAATATTATCAAAGATTAAAGAGATAGTGATAGAGATAGAAAAAAGAGATACAGTATATATAGTACATAGAGAGTATTGTAGCTTACACAGTTATCCTCAGAGCCTGAGGCAATGAAGCGTCCGCAGGGTGAGATGGCTGAAGAGCACGGATGGCAGCGATTTATGTGGTTCTCATAACGCCGTACGCACCTGAGGAGGAGATGCACACAGTGCTGAGAAATAAATGAGGTTCAAAGGCTGTGTTGACATTAAAGGGCTTAATGCTCAATTCGGATTATTTCCCCCCAGATCTGATCTTTCTGCCTAGACTGTTTACATTCATGTTTGAAGTGACTTATATCAGACATCAGTGTGATCAAATCTCTGCCCTTAAAGCCTCAGATGCAACCAGTGCTGTCACAAACATGAACGTTGGAACAACAATTAAAACGTCAAATTTGTGACACAGGAACTTGGAGAAAAAAGGAATTATATAACAGTGCAAGCTTCATCTTCTGAATGACTGCCATAGCAGGAAGGTCCGATGATGTCATTCTGTGTCATAATTAGCCATGGGCTTCTGTCTTTGAGAGTGTGTAGCACATTTTTGGAGAAATGGTCCTTTGAAAAAATGGACATTTGTTTTTAGAGATAATGGGCTGTCATACAAATGAGGTTTCAGTCCACTAGCTCAATTACAAGCTAGCTCAATTATTAATGGTTCTCACAGCGGTCTCATAGCCAATGATCAGATATGTATTGGTTTTGGGACCACATGAAAGTGGCTGAGATTTGATTGGAAAATAACTGGATTTCTGTGACCACACTATTCTGACAAAATCAGATCTTTGTCACATGAGCGATTTGAGCCACATTTGCTTGTAATGTGAACAAAGCCATAAACTAACTCAAATTAACCTGATGTAAAGACTGAGTATTTGTCTGGTGATGTTACAGTACAATCAAAAGTTTCTGCGGGATTAAATCAATATGCAGAATTTCTATCTTATCTCATTGCAACAGTCATATTAAAAGCACATAATTTGTTTACTTCGTATAAAATAACATCATTTAATCCACTTTGTCAAGAAAAACTGTGAGATAGAACTGGCATTGTTAATAAAAACAGTATTATAATCGAAAAACAATGCTTGACAAGTGAAATATGGATATGAACAGCATTCCACATGAGTGCAGACATTTCTTTTTTGGATTTGTTGTGATGTTATGTTGCAAATGCAAAGTTTATTAGTTTACTGAACTCTGGCAGGAATAACTAAGGAGCAGAATGCCACCCTACAGACAAACATATCAACCAGCCAAGCACGAGGAATTGAGCATGACTCAAGCAAAACACAGGCCAGAGAAGGTAGCAGATGACGAATGGCCCCCTCGTGCAACTCTTGTGCTGTTTCTTATGGTTTGCAACAGCATGTAATGTCTTTACAATGCCACTAACAGCTAACTGAGCCAGGGTCTCTATATGGGCTGGCATGTTGGCAGGCCTCTGACAGGATATGGTGAGAGCATGTCTTTGACATTCACGTGCTAATGTCATTAAGCTGGACTAAAAGTAGGTCATATTCACTGGTGATCATAAAGACACTGGATATACCCAGTACAGTGAGCAAGTTCAATAAAAGCAAGCAATAAAAACAAACTTTATGAAGCATCTAATGTTGATTTTTGTTAAGACTGTGTCAAAGAGGTGTTGATTCAACTCAGTGGCAAATGTGATGTTGTATTCACTGGCATTACTGTATTTTGTAAGGTGTTCCTCTCATTTTTTCCAGTATATTGCCACTGTCAGCTGACTACACTATCTGCCCATACAGCCCACAGAAGACTAAGTCACAAAGTCTTGCTTGGCTGCAACTAAACACCTCATGAGACTGAATTGTTTCAGCCAAAATCCTAGAGTAACTTGACAATGCTGCAAAAAGGGCCACCTGACTGAAATGGGGGAAAAATATTGCTTGAGGGGTCTGGATGCATGACAAACCATAGCCTTGGCTGTGGAGATGACTGACTAGTGTTAAAGGGACAGTTCACCACAAAATTGAAACTTGATATTTTTCCTCTTACCTTTAGCGCCATTAAGCAATCTAGATTGTTTTGGTGTGCGTTGCAGAGTGTTGGAGATAACGGTTGAAGAATACCTGCTTGCTGTGGAAAATAATTTAACTGGATGGCACTTTGCTTGTGGCGCTCAAAGCACCAAAAAAAGAAAAACCAAAAAAAGAAAAACCAAAAAAAACCCCAAAAAAACAGCAATGTCTCTTTCCAAAAATTACGACCCAGTTACTCACGATAATCCACAGACCTTGTTGTGAGCAGTTAAATGTAGGAACTATTTTCTGTCTACTAATCTACACCAGCCAATCATATCATCACATAGAAGGAAGCATACATCTGCTACTAGCTCAACTAGCACCACAGAGCTAACTAGTGTTACAGCATTAATGTTTACATCTGGCGCCTTCACAAGCGTGAGCCTCTCATCCATGAGTAGATGCACACTTCACTCTGTGTGGTGATGTTGTTCCTGGGTGTAATCAGGTAGAAAGATAATAGTTCCTACATATAACTGCTCACAACAAGGTCTGTAGATTATCTTGAGTAAGCATGTCATGATTCCTGGAAAGAGATATTGCTGTTAAGTTTTTTTTAACACTTTGGAACACAAGCTGAGTGCCGTCTAGTCAGATCATTTTGGAGAGAAGGCAGACATCTTCTACGGCCGATATTTTCAACACTCGGCAACTCACATCAAAAGTCAAGATTTATAAATAGCACTACAGGTAAGAGGAAAACTATATATTTCAATTTTAGGGTGAACTGTCCCTTTAAGCCCTTTGCAAAAAGATACTAAAAATTGAAAAGAAAAAGGGTTTTAATGTTTGAAACAATTTAAACTTGTAAATACTTTTAAATTTGTCCTGCTTAGTTTGAACTGAAGAATAAAAATATACCTAATAGTGTTACATTGCCTCCTGTGTGAGAGCTACTCAGGATAAAAACAGTAAAAATCTCTGGTTATTTCGTTGTAGAGTAAAATGGATGAGAAGTATCTAGTTTCTAGATCCCCATCAGTACATGTGGACTTTCAGGTCCTCAGCAGATCTGACAAAAGCTGTCAATATCACACTGATAAGAAGCAGATTAACAAGTTAGAATAAACCCTCATCTGGTTTTCTAGGTCAGAATGTGGATTTAATGTTTTGACTGAAGGAGCGGAGATGCTTGGCTGAAACCCCCCCCCCCCTTTCTGTGTTGTGTGAGTGATGACTATCCGGCATTTGCCTGATGACTAACACAGACTGCACTGGAGGGTCCGATCTTCTTAAGTGGGAGCCTATACGGTTACTGAATCCACCTGGGTATTCAGTGTCAGTCATCAAGGTAATCAGCAGGCTAATCATAGCTCTGTATTTGCAGCCAACATATTTTACCCAGTTTAAGTGTGTCAGTGCAAATCAGGCGAAAGCTTTTTCTTGTACTATTTGATATTTTTAATGTAAATGGATTATTGATCCATTTAGTCACAGCATTAATTCATCAGATGATTCCAGCAGATTTAAGGAGAATACATCACTGGACTAAAAAGACACATCTGTTCTTTCTATCTTTAGAATCGCTATCTGAGTGGGGCTGATTTTAAACTATGTTAAATACTGCAGTGTAGACCCCTCAAATGGAGTTTTGCACCCTTAAACACATCATTTGTAAACACAAGGGGTGAGTGCCTGCTTTAAAAAAACTAATCAATCAAGTGGCTTATATTGATTTTAAAACTCTTAAAGTCTTGCAAACTTTCAGAAATCATTACCCTTATTCAGTCTTTAATGGATACACATGGGTATCGTGCATGTTTGTGCTTCTGTCTGAAAAGGAAGGAAGGAGCAAGAAGTGCTGGGGATTCTCATGTGACAGAGCAAAATAAAATTAAGATTAAGTTTCAGAAGTTTCCACTGAGTGAAATGTACGTTTCCCATTGTGGTTTTTCTGGAAGTTCTCTAGTTTGATTGAAGACGGACAACAGTATTAACCCCAATTTATTCCCTACTTGCAGTTTCTGTCAATAGAGTTGTGTCTAATAGAACGCAGTTCAATAAAACTGGCCATGGCCATACACAGTTTAGTCATCACGAGTAAAGAACAAACAAACCTTAAGCTTTTAACCAGACAGTCATTCATCAACAGTGTTTATAGACAGGCATGATAAAGTCATAAAATAACTCTGTTAATGACTGCAAAACAATTTCTCATTTCTCTTGATAAAATGGCAATGACCCGACTAATTTGGGGTCATCAAATTAAACATGATTGTTTGTTTAATCTTTAAGGTTTTGTGAGGGAATGTCTGGTCTCATTTGATGTTACTGTCTGCCTGCCAGCAACATTCCTATTTACTTTAACTGATGAAAAGGAATTAGGTTACATTTCAATTAACTTTGCTCTTGGTTGGATTACATTCAATACAAAAGCTCATGGATAAACAATGTTATCTTTATATATCAAGTATTTCCTGGAAGTTCATTAGGGATATCTAAGGATATCTCGCTATTCAAATAGTTTTGGACTTACATGCTGACGTTTAGAGATATTATCTCCTGAAACTTCTGCCACCAGTCGCATAAAATCAGGAAAGTGAAATTTTCTTTGTGATATTCAAAGCATCAAAAACTGACATCTAAAAAAATATATAATGACAACATTTGTTTCTATGGTAACTCCTCTGCTAGTTGAGAGATTTTGCTGTTAACAGATTTCCACGAAGCCCCTCTGAGGTTACATGGTGGACAAAAAAACCTTGAGGTGTGAATCTGTGTGAACGGATTTGTGAACTATGCCCTTGGATTCATAATCCACATGCATGATTTCTTAAACCGTGCCCTCGAATTTGCAATTTGTGCATTGTTGCCGACATTTGTCCATGAAAAACACCACTACACTTAAAATAATAGGCACTGACATCTAAACCAGTTTTAGCCAGTGATTTAGGGATCTCTAGAAATGTCAAATAAGCATGCTTAGGTATAGTCAGAAAGATAAACTGCTTATCTTTCATTTGAATCCATTTCTGTTTGATGAACACCAAAGTCACTGGATCTCTTGAAATGAAACCTTTCCCCTTCCCTCACCTCATCTCTTCTTTGTTTACTGTTAGCTCTATGAATAATACAGACTAAGATTTCCGCCTGGGATGTTCCATTCAAAAGAAAAAGCTATACCAAATAAAATAATATATTTATCATGAGGAGCAGTCACATGAGCACCTTCTGTTAGCCTTATTCATGAGACAAATTGTTCCAAGAATTTTTATTTGCCTTAATATATCATGAAGAGATTCTGATGAACATAAAACCTTGAACTGACTTTTCTATTTCCATTAGCTATAAGCCTCACATAAAAGTAATTTTAAGTAACTAATTATTTTTAGGAGAGCTGTAATTTTTCTTGTGGTTAAGGCTAGCTACAGAAACAGACGCATACAGTTTATCAAAGACGGAAATCAAATTAAAAGGGCCCACAAATTGATAAAATGCCTCTACGTTATTGTTTTCATACATGTGTATGTTTCACCTCAAATGAACTGCTTCTGCTGAGAGATGCCTGACGACAGCTCCAAGAACCAGAAGTTGACCTGGAAACCAGGCACAAATATTTATCAGATAACAATAAGGTTTTGATTGAGCCTGGGATGAGGAGTTAAACATGGGAGCAGTCTCAGACATGAAAGAATGAAATATTCAAAAATGCCTTGCACTGGGCCAGAGAGAACATTTTGATATCCAAGAGCCTATTTGAACTATCCACCTTATATGGATCTGCTACTAAGGGCCAAAGAAAAATATTCTCAGCTAGCTTTGGATATTGAACAATTGCAGATTCAATCATCTACTGAGGAATCTTAGTGTTAAAAAAAATGTTGATGTAATCGGAATTTAAGGTAATTTTGCACTCCCAGGAAAAGAGGGAAGGAAAGCAATATTGGTTTTCTTGAATGTGCTTGAACATTTATTGCTCTGGGGTTATTTCAACAGATTTGATGAAGCAATCCTTCAGCCAGTGTGACTCCAAAATGGAGCTTCAGATTTCAAAGCACAAAAAAAGAGAAAGGGGTACTCATTATGTAACCGTTTCATTAAGGCTACAGTTGTTACCTTCAATGAAAACAACTTTTTGTCACACTGGCCATAACTGTCACTACATCATAACAGAAGCACACAAGAGAGTGATCTGTCAATCACTGCTCCTGAACTGTCGTCAAACTGTCAAACTAGGCAGTACTGATCAAATATGACTCAAGACTCTGTTAAAGCATTGCGTATTTCTTGTCTGTCTTTCTCATTTTACAGCTAAACAGTGCACTAAAATATGCTTCTGAAAACATCTGAGGCGATAAGTAGGAAAAACAGTTACAGAATCTTGATTCATTTTAATCAGCGCTTTGTTGTTTGACCACAGTTGACAGGAAGTGATTGACATGACTGACAGCAGCATTAGAGACTCCACAGCTCTGATTGGTTGTTTTCGTTCCTGTAGATTCTTGCAAATGCCATTACAGGCACTAAAGCCCCTTTCCCACTGGAAAAAAACCCACTAACACCCACTAACAGCTGGCTTTTGTATTTAAAAAGGTTACAATCCACATTCACTCCTGGCACAATTGACTCTGCAGTAGTCATGGGTATTTATCGGATCCAGCTCCAATAGGCTCTGATCAGCAGTGATCAAAACATGACATCCGGATGGACCCGCTAATTTTAGCACCTTTTCTGGTGCCATACAATGACACACCACCACAACATACCATCCATCTCAATCCAAACAGCGCCTGAACATAATTCAAAATTAGTCAGCACAGAGTTTGAATAAGTAACAAATAGTATCTACCTTAACCTCCATACTGCTTTCTACTCATTACTAACCTGTTTTCCATCACATCCATGACATCAAATGTGACACACCAGGAAAAAAACCCCAGAGAGGCATTCCTTTCTGTTGCAGAGAACCCTACATGGCTCTGGTCTACTGGCAGTGGAAAAGCAGTCTATGGCCTACTTTTAAGAGGTTTTCCCTTTCAAAAAAAACCCTGTGTACAAGCACTATTGGTTGTCTCGTGTACTGCTCTGTGGATATAGTTACAATTCAGCAGTTCAGAGTTATTTTTATAAAAGTTAAAGTTGAAGCTATGGCTTCAAATTTAGACATCACAGTAAATGTAATAGGTTCGTGTCTCTGTCAGAAACAGAAAAGAATACAGATATTACACAAACATGTTGATGCTAACCTGTTACAGAGGTTGCATTCACAGCAAAACACTATTATGCCAGTCGTTTCGGATAGCACTATTAACCAAGTGTCCCAATGTCTTGAAAAGAGAAAATATATTAGGTATCAATTTTTATTTTGATTAAGTTGCCATAAACTACTGTAATGAACATAATTTTTCTTCTAAAAAGTCAGAAGAAACCGAAGCAGTAGAGGAGTATTTTGTAAAAATGAAAACACAGACACAGCTATTTAATTGCTCTTTTCTTGCCTGATTTTCACATTAACAGTGAACTCACTACAAATCCAACGAACTAGACTACATCAAAACCAACCTCAGTGTACGAAGATCCCAAATCTTCACACCATCCGTGACTGCACTGGTGAGGAAGAGGTTGTATGAGTCTGGTGTTTGTGTGCTGAACATGGAGCCCTGTGAATTATACACAAAAAAACCCAAAAATGACTAGTCAGCACATGCTTGACTGAAACAGGTTGTAAATCGGCTTCTCTTATTGTCCAGTCCTGGAAAAGTTTGTTGCTGCAAATCCTCTATTGCCAAACAGCCAACTTTTCATATTATTATTCCAGGTAACATTTTCACTGCCTAAAAGTACAACGTGCCATTAAAGACAATCACACTGGGGTTGGAAAGAAAAGTAGTATGGAAGCAAATTATTGTAAATCTGTCTTGGTGTGTCACTTTCCATCTTAAATACACCATGGTGAGATATGATTCAGCTATAAATATATAGTTTCCATTGCTCGTCTATACATACGTTCCATATATGACTTTCACACTAAGTTATAAGATGATACATAGTGGAGCGTGTGTGTGTGTGTGTGTGTGTGTGTGTGTGTGTGTGTGTGTGTGTAAAAGGGAAAGCGAGAGCAGCGGTGGGGGTGTTTTTTGTTTAGATTTCCATTAAGAGTGTGAGAACAGAAGTCTGAGAGGGCATTTCCAGTTCCATTTTCCGAGAACTCCTCTGCTCTGATGAGTTCCAGGTGAATTTTGCAGAAGAGGCGATGGAAATTTGAAGTGGGAAAAGCTGCTTCACATGCTGCAGTTCCTGATGTTTGGTCCGCCTCGGGACGAGAAAGCAAGAGGGGAGAGAAGAGCGATGTTATGTGTGCAGTCTCTAGGCAGGGGCAATCCCTCTGATCTGCAGGTATTAACCCCACAGCATCCAAAGGCCCTCGGGCACCCAGACGGAGGACCCCACATTGACGCAATAGCCAAGCTGAAACAACACACTGTGGGCTTTCCACAGTGTATAGCACACAATAGCTGGCGTGACAAAGACCAGGCACCTCTGGGTCGAAGGAGTATAGTCAGCTGTGTGTAAGAGTGCGTTGCAGTCGAACGGGTTGATGCATTTAATCCATGCCACTAGCTGCAGTGTGTCCAGCTAATCCAGGCTGGCCTGAGTGTCAACTTCGCACAGGTCAACACACAGAAAGTCAATACGCCAGGGTCACTGGGTACGAAGCCCTCTCCCCTACACAAATACAAACTCCTCTGTATTCCAAAAAACTTATATAAGCATCTGTATGATTTCCATATTTTTTATGATCAAAATTAATGGCTTTGTTGCCATTATGAAGCTGGCAAATATATGACTATATATGGAGCGAAACCAGGACTTTTAGTCAACTGTGAAATGTAATGGGATAGCTGCACAGAAATGTAAATAATACGCAGAAAAACCCAGACGTGAATGCATGAATTTATTACTGATATTTAGAGTTTCATTTTGAGTGATGCAGTATTACATTCTTCATAGCACTATAATGAATGTGGATACAGGCCCAAGCTGTCTACTTGTTAGACACCAGCAAATTGGGCCCACATTGGTCCAAGACAGTGATGTGGGAGTAAGGCCACATAAACCCAAACTGCATCATGGAACAGCTTTACTCCAAGGCCGCCATCCAGCATGGAATCTCCTCCTGCCATCTCCTATGGCAGTCTTAATCCTGATGCACCAAGGATTTACATTCAAACACTCAGCAAGATGAATGATACCGATGATGGCATGTCCTGTCTGCCTGTCATGGAAACTTTTGGGTAACCATGACAATTTTTTTAACCATGACCTTCTTCTTTCACACCACAAACTAACACTTTTATTCCCTCAAAGACGATCTGTGCCTTACGTAACTCGCGCAACACACATAGATGTCTTATGTAAGATGATAACATCGGCCAAATAGTAGACCCTTCAAAAGTAAGATGGAAGATCTACCAAGTGATGCCAAGCCAAGCAAATTCTTTGCCGTGTGGATTGGGTCTGAATGTCACTCAGTCTGCCTGTGGAGTGATGAGACGTCTTTGCCTTCATCCATTCACAAAGGTTAGAGGTTATCATCATTTTAGTCAAGTTGCAAGTATAGTAGAAGTCTGTAAAGCAGATTTGACAAAAACTGTCTGTCTTTCAGTCTTTAAAATCATTTTGAAGAAAAGGGCTGTTTTCAGGCTACCAGTGTCACCAGTTTAAGGCAGATTATCTAAGATTAGAACGAGGAACAGGGGAATACATGTTGTAATGAAATTAATATGAAATAATTTTGCATTTTAGGAATCACACTCACTGAAATCACTTATGTAAGCTGCAAACTGTTCAAATAACACTGATATTTTGACTTTTAACAGGTTATTTTTTCGCAGTGGTCACAGTAGGAGTAAAACTTCCTCTATGGTTTCCAATTTACAGTGTACGTAACAATTTCTTATCTCTGAAGAATCTACACATAGAGACCCCATTTTCGACACGTTCGACACACCTTCATACATCACTTCTTTATTAATTAAATATTTAACTGGTCTCATAGTCATTTTTCAACCTGTTCGATTGGCTAATGCTTGAAGTCCCGTGTGCAAGCAGTGAATTTGAGAAATCTGCTTTTAGTTTTTGTGCTGCACACACTTCTAACAATTTACAAAACACAATAAAACCTTACACTATAGGTCAATTTAAAACCATAATTACAAACTACTCTGCTCTTGAATGTAAATGTCTCTAACTGTGCTCTATTGTTGTTTGTTTGTTTTCTCTTTACTTACTTTCTGTAATTCAATAAAACTTTATTTATTCTGAAGGAAATTATTATGCCAGGGAATGCTTCAAATTACAGTAACACTAACTACAGTAACCACAATTTTAACGATTCACAACCAGTGCCAACCAACCAGACAACCAGGGGGATCCCTGGTCAGGGTCAATCGCTGGGCTCAGTTTTAGTACAACAGAGTATCAAATATTTGGCAAAGTAAATATACAAGATGGAAGTGTTTTTTTTTTTTGTTTTTTTTTTTAAGATTATTTTTTGGGCTTTTTGCCTTTAATGCACAGGACAGAGTGAAGTGGGGTGAGAGAGAGAGAGAGTGGGGGGTGACATGCAGCAAAGGGTTGCAAGCTGGAGTCAAGCCTGCTACCACTGCAGTAAGGCTTTGCCTCTATACATGGGGCACTGGCACTATCCACTACGCTACCAACGCCCCAAGATAGAAGTGTTTTCAAGGAGCAGAAGCAAAAACCAGTGCCTAACAGAGTAACATTAGGAGTAAGATAAGCACAAGAGTAACTAAAAATGAACTAAAATGGTGGGATAAAACAGACTGCTCTTGATAATCAATAGCAACTCTAGCAGGCTGCCACCCGACACGGCGCCAGAAATGGAAGTTAAACTGTACTCTCATTGTAAATGAGGGCATGCCCTCAATAAATCCTTGAGATTTAAATAAAGGGTGAACAAATTATTGATTTTACATCCTTTTACAAATATAATGAAGATAAAATAATAAATAAAAGTTGGAACTTTTAAATACCCATTTGGACAGTCAGAACATATAAATGGCCTCACCTTGTTCTGTATAATGCAGTGGACGGCTCTGCTGTGGGCATCAGGCAGCACTGAGGCAACTGTACCTTTGTTCATGTCAAATACTTGAATGGACCGATCCGAGCCACACGCCAGAACGATGTCTGAGACCACTTTTAAGAAAAGTTATGACATTTATTTTTCACCTGCTGTGGATGAGCTGTGAGTTATCTAAGTATTTATGATGTTAAGTGTTCAAAATCAGTTTTCTATGACAATTATCAATGGGGTCAGCATTCCAAGGTAAGACATAAACATATACCTGCGTAAAGAATGCCAACTTTCCGTTATTCTTCATGGACCAGCACTAAGAGTTAGTGCTGAGCTTGGTACATAGCAAAATACATCAGGCTGCTTTCTTGCAAACAGCTTCTATCACTCATGCTGTGATGCAAAAAGTATGTCGCTTTTAAATGTCAGTGGTTGTCTGGCAAGTTTGCAAACTGTTGTATCTAGCCTTCTAAATACTCCTTAATGCTCAGGTTTAACACAATATCTGACTCCACATGGAGAACAGATATTTCAAATGATAAAGAAATACTTTTCTGTTTATTCAGTTTAATGCAGTAGATTTTAGTATATTTATAAACACGCGAGAGTGTCTCCTTTGCATGGTGTCCATTTACAATCTTTGCTTACTTCTCTATAAAAAAAAATTGCAGTGGGGTTTTTAACGATACACCCTTAATTTAAACAGAAATCCAGACTCAAAGCATAAAAACTTTTACTGTAATCACTTTATATCTATTTTCCACTGTCAAGTATAGTGGTGTAAAATAACTCCTGACAGGATCTCACTTATCCCGACGCAGCTCACTGCAGTGGATTTATTGGAAAGTAAATGTGTTGTAAACCCTAACAAGGGGCTGGAATGCAGACATTCCTGAAAAATTAAAGACACTAAAATGATTTACAGGTAAAGTCTGCAGTGGAAGCCCTGAGGTAACAAGTTGTTCAGTTTGCCTTCCACAGCATCGGTGTAGTCTCACTTCCCTGTTGCACGAGCAATAATAATAAAAAGGATACGAGAGAAGAAGTCATTAATTGCAGACAAGGCAGTGATGTCTGTTGCTGGTGTTGTCTTAAAGCATCTGGCTAATTTCACAACACTCCGTTGCTGATATCTGAAAAGAAATGGAAGAAACTGCATCATTTTCTAAACCAATAAAGGTAAAAATTTAACATAATCACATTGCACACCTGTCACCTCATCTCTGTCAGAGCTACATATACAGCTGTAGGTGAGGATTCACGACCCTTTATGAGCCCAAATCACAGGAATAGCAACATGCACTGCTAAAAGAGGATATGGAGGCCCTTTATTGTCATTTCCCTGGCCTCCAGAAAAAGCCCTGACAGCTTACAGTACACAGTCAAGCAGTTTGGGTGGTAATGAGTGTCAGCAGTGTGCAGTGTGTGGTAGCAGCTAAATAAAGCCAGACCCTCATCAAATCAGTAACTGAGCTAGCTGAAACAAAAAAAGCCCACTTTCTACATAGATTACACGAGTCTTAAAGGTGCAGTGTGTAGGTTTCAGGGGATTATACACTTGTGGTCAGTGGGATTTGAGGATTCTTAAAATAACATCTGTAGCCTACAGATGTGAAGCCCTGACTGTATCTGACTGATCTTTAATGAAAGCTGTTGTCTTGTATTTTTTTTCCTCTGAAAATATTAACCTTATAGTCAAACACTGTTTATTTAGCCTGTGTAGTTGAGGGGACAGGTCAAACTAGTATGATGCTGATTTACAGGAGAATTCATGTAAAATGGAGGTTAAACCATGAACATAAACTACAGATCACATGTAAAGCATTTTAATAAATTAATCTATCATAAATAAAATAATTGGAGACTGAGAACAAACTAGACATATGGGTCTGATCACTTTTTTAATGAATTGACATCATTCCAGACAGGATGTGAGTGTGTCTGTGACTTCCTGTACAGACTGAAGGCTGCTGGAAACTGTCAGGAAAATGTCCGACTTCACCGCAGCTTTTTGTCACTGCCCCCTGCTGCGGCCGCCTGCTCTCGTCTACTTTGCAGGCAAGGCACAGTTCATCTCCAACGAGCCTATTGACACTCTTGACACTCAGGAGGTTGAAATTGTTGCTATATGGGGTGGGCCCTAGCGCTTAAACTCTATTTCACCCTACTTGCTGTTGACTTTACACTTCTTTGCTGTGGCCTTGTCTGCTGCCTAGCAGAAAATGTCTGCTGTTACTGTGTGTTTGTTTATGTAAAGTTCCTACTTGGTGTAGGGCTACAAACTGTTTAATAGTCCTGCCATCGTATGGTAAATGGAAATTAACCAAAGTGATCTTGCATGATTAACCAATATCTGTGTCAGGCCACATAAAGTATATTTTGAACAACAAGCTGCTTATAATCAGTTCGCAGGCCATGATAAGCACCCAGACAGGACTTTGGACATGCCTGCCCTACATGTCTGGCACATAGAAATGTTCAGTTGGTTGCAATCTAATCTCTCAAGACAGATTCTGCAATTTACATTGTAGAATCTGTCGGCAGCCCTGTGTAAAAGACGCTTTGAGGCTTTGAGGCTTCGAGTTTGAACGATGCTGCGCTTTAGCCAATCACAATGAACACAGTGTACAGGGAAGCAGTTAGAGCTACAGGCTACAATGAGGCTAAAAACAGAGTTCAAGTGACGTTTTTCAAACAACTTTTTATGTCGGGGCTTCAAGACACTTGGATCACTATGGACGAGCAGTATGGAGATATTTTGTGGTTTCAATTATGTGTTTTTGGACGTTTGAATCTGGGGCGCTGTAAGATAGATAATGGCTAAATTTTCATTTTTGGGTGCACTCTCCCTTTAACTCCCAATGCCTCAGTGTTCCTATTTAGAGGCCAACAAGAGTGTGGTCCTACTGTGCAGCTTTGAGGTTTACATGTATGCCATTGTGATTATGGTGCTTCTCTGTATTAAATCCTGAAGGAAATAACTGTGTTTTCAGCAGCTAAATGCTACACTATCTTCACAAGCAAGTTGTTAATTTTGTCTGTCTGCTGTTTGGTAATGAGCAAGTAGTGTACAGTGGGATTTTAGAGGTGTTTCATTGAAAATAGCAGCCTGCTATAGCATAATAAGGTTAATGAATACGTTGGCCAGTAAAGATTATTGATTCCTCATTGCTGCACTGTCTTAAATACTAAATAAACTTGAATTTCTGCTGTCAAGTGCATTAGAGCAACAATTTCATATAACTACCCAGCTGTGACCAGGGTGTTCAGTTGATATTAAGCTTGGGCACCAAAAGAGAAAGAGAAATCTTTGCCTTTCTTTGCATTAAATAGTGTAGTACATTTTTTTATATTGGAATAATAAATGACATGCATAAGTTATTATCATTTTAAAACCCTTAATTCATACATTACTATCAAGTTCACATGCTGAACTGCTGCGTATAAAAGTCCCTTGTAATTACCTTTTGATGTCATCATGTGTGACGTCCACATTGTACAGGTACAAGTATAGAGATGGCCCCGATGCCAGAAGCAGAAATTTGTCCAGGTAATAAAACTGAGCACTTCTTATGGGTTTGGAGAACATACTGTCACCCTGAAGGGAAAAAAAGAAGAGACAAAAATAAAGATGATCTCTTGAAATTATTGAGACATTTGTGATGCAAGAAAATATATTAAAAATATAGTTAATTTAATAATAAGAATAACTATTTAAAACTTTTTTCTTATTGAAAACATCACTGTACCTCATGTTGCCTGAAGTGATTCAAAGCAAAGTCATGGCTGAGTTCTCAAAGCAATAAAAAGCTGTGCTGTAATTCTAAGTGCTGTGCATCTCTATAGCTTTTTAATTGCTGAAAATGATACATGCAACACCCTCAATTTTGGAGAGATAATCTGAACATACTGTCTGTCATTAAAATGGCATTAAAAGGTAAACCATTGAAAGGTTGACCATGAATGTCTTGAATGTTTGCTGTAACAACAACCAACATCTCCACATTTTTGTCTCTTTATAGGTCATACTGAAATTCTTCTACACCATGTGGAAAAAGAGACTCAAGAAAATCTGTGCCACAAAAGGAGGGAGTGAACTTACAAAAAAAGCATCCTATAGCGCAGTATCATCGTTGCCCTTAACCCTTAAACTGCAACGTTAGACTGCATTGAGGCAAAAGACACTAACAGATGGGCTGTCCTGACTTTTCTTCTCTGTCGAGGTTCTGGATGTACTTCTACCTACCATATCTACCAACTATCTGATCTCTTCAGACTTCCAATGAGAATACATTTTAAGAATACTATGTGGTCATTTTTCTTTCTTTCTAGAGTTTTCAAGTATAGCCATGCAAAGCTATTTGTAATTCTGGCTCACCCCGACAAAACTCTTGTCCCTGAAAAGACTTGCATTTGTTGCCAGGTTGTTTCACAAGAACACCAAGCAGTCAAAGGCTGCAGACCCGGCCAAACCCAAAACAATCTCACTGAGTGGAGCAAAGCAGGGATGGTTAGCATCAAGTATGGGGAGACCCCAGATTTTGTTTGCACTTGGCATGGAAAAGCAGACACACTTCTGACTGTCCCGTTAAATGTGATACCCAGTGAAGTAAGGAGGGTCTGCATATGATCAGAGTTTTGGATGCTCTGAGTCCAGCAGATGCTTTGAATGACAAAGTCCCCATCTTTGAGCCAAGAAACACAACGTTTCATCATCCCAATTAATTTTGCTTTCTCTTTTTTAATTCCATGAGGATATAACTATTAGGAAAGGAAAAAGTGAATTAACCAAGTTTTATATCAATATGTCAAAGATAAACTTTGAACATTACACAGATATCCCCCTGCAGAAGCTCCGTTACAAAGGTACATCAGTTTCTAATGCATTACAAACAAAACAAATCAGAGAATTTTCATCACAGCATATCTTACCTGCATTACACTATGTAATATATGGCCCCCTTTCCATCAGCCTTAATACACCACACATCTATACTGTAACTTAGTCACAGAATCCAAACTTGAGGCATTATACTTTGAAAGCAGGTTCTTAAGAACAACATATTGCGTATACAGTAGCCACTGTTTCACCTCCATTCAAGTGTGGCATTGTTGCCTCATTTCCAACACTGCTATTAGGTGCAAAATCCTTCCAGAGGTCATAGCTGTCTGTGAAGACAGGAGTGGGAGTGAAAAATGTGTACTGCATGTGTCTGTAGTTATTTTGTTATACCTCTAAACCAATTTGAGTTTTAGACCTTCAGAGTGAGGACATTTTTGCAATATGAGGTCACTCTGGCTGGGCCTCATTTCACCATTTTTTTATGGTGAGGACTTAAAATAATGAGTGAGTAAAGGTTTGGTTGGACTTAGTGGTTCAGATTGGGGTGATAGAGACTGAATGAAATCCACAGAGAAAAAAGAAATAGCTACAAGTGTGTGTTAGTGAATGCATGGGACATTTACCATGATAATGGCAGGCTCTGGGCTGCCATGGGTCCAGATTCGTAGTGACTGGTCCTCTGACGCACTCAGCCACCACTGTCTGTTGAGACTCCAGCTCACACTGCTCACTGGCTTGTCATGCCCTGCTTATAAAAAGAGAGGTTTGACATTAACCTGGAATCAGCGTGTGGCTGAAACATTTACTTTTATGGTACTGTTCAGAGAGTCAGACAGAGTTAAGAGAAGAGGCACACGGTGACCCACTGGTCACCTCAACTTCTGTCCTCTTATCTCTGCTGCCCCCTTGTGGAGACTGTGTTTTCGCTGACACAGAAGCTTGACGTGGATGGATATCTTTTCTTTGCCTGTCAGGGACGCTGGGTTGCGGGCAGAATTGACTGCTCCTAGTAATACTTAAGTTTTCAATACTGTGTAAAATAGTGAGAAATTATATTTGTTCAAACCTACTTGGTCTAAAAACACAATGTGCCCTTTTCATCTTTCTTTTTCTGTCATCACCTAGGTTTTACTGTCTGACAAAAACAAGACAGCATGTACCAAATTCTTGCGTTGGAATATAGTCAAACCACCCTTTTTCTGGTAGAAGAGAACTCTTAATCAACAGTTTTGACAGTGATAGCTGAGTAAGTGAATACTTGGATTTCCCTGAAGTCTTTCATCTCAAGCCATGGATCCATTTCAAAGTATATTAATCAGATAATAATCCCAGATAAGGCTAAACTAAATCCGATATGAGAACGAACTTCTTAGTATTATCATCCCTTTGTCTCTTAAAAACATCGGGGGTAAGAACTTCACCATGGATGGCTCCAAAATGTGAGGAGTCAATTAATAAAGCCCTATTATTAAAAATATCATGAATAATGATTACAATGAGTCATTCCTTTCATACAAGAACACAAACATTCAAATGCACTGCAGACGAAAACACTGAGGAGGAAAATACTTTATAACCACGAGGTTTTTAAGTTATGGATATTCATGAATACTTCATGCACCTGTGTAGACAGCTGGATTGCCATTAAGGGAGGACTTGTACAATAACACCGAGCTGTCGCCAAGACCACACAGGATTTTTTTTCCGTCACCTGGGAGAGACAAGGACACACAGAATCGTTTTATCAGGATTTTTCCACAGCCATTTTATTATTACACAAATAGGGGTGACAGAAGGGGGGTGTTTTGTCTGAAGCAGAAACGTATGCTAATGTATCCTAAAATATAATTCTCTAACAATAACAATTAACTGATATTAATTCATTGCAAACCATACATCCCTAAAAAGTTTTCTCCCCAGGATTGACAAAACTGGATGCAGTCAATACATAACTCTTTTCTGTTTGCTATGCAATGCTTCAAACTCTGTTACTGCTGATAAAATATTCAAATTCAGGCTCTAACAGGACATTGAAATCCAGATGAATATAAAATGCCTTCATTCAATGCCCTCGAGATCTATAGTAGTATCATGGAGGACTATCCTATGATCCTGACACATGATATGACCACGGGGCGCTCCGAATTTCAAGTAAGTCTTTACGCAGACGTTAGCAGAGGGTAGGGCTTGTTTTGATATGTTAATGTGTTGTGTTTTAAATATTATGGTCAATATTGCAGTGGCAAAATTGTCTCACCTGAATACTGAAGGCAGTGGACTGGTTTGTTGACAATGTTGAGATGAATATGTGGAATCGTAGGTGCTGCACTGTCTGCTGGATAATCTCTGAGGAGTGAACCTCTAAATGACAAAGAAAAATACAGTTTTTATATCAACAATAACATTTTAAAACCTTCTCAGCATTTTATTATAAATGATGGGACTGTTTACGTATTTTTATTGGACTTCTTGGAGGAAGGATTCTTCTGGATATTTGTTTTAGGCGAAAACATAGTTCTTCTGAAAAGCAAAAACCAAACATTGAACCTCATTTAATCACCTTTTGTTTTTGGATCAGGTTCATTAAGCTTTATCTTTCTTGGAAAAAAAAGAAAAATATAAGGAAGATGAAGTCACATTTCTACTCTTACTTTTCCATCAAAGTTGTTGCTCTTTACCCTGATCCAATATTTGGACAATGTAACACACTGTAAATAGATTTTTACTCCGTGAACCTACCTCGGGGCACTGCTATATCCAGATGACTTCACTTTCGAGTGGAAAACCAGCGGCTGCTCCTTTATTCCTCCTTTATAAAACAGATAAGGTCCATTAGACACAGACTGACAAACACAAGTACTTGCAATAAATCATCTACATCTACAAGAAAATAAAATATACCATAAAGAAAGAGTCCTATTTACAAATGAGTAGATGTTACGATACGAGTCAAAGGTCAAAACAGGAAAAGACTCAAGTTCTTTTTTTTTTTTTGCATATTTAGGACACAACTACTCATTATACTGTGGTGGCTTTTCATGGATTATACTGGGAATGGAAGATAAAATATTATTGGGTGACCACTTTGTCCTGTGAGCATTAAGTGCAAAAGCCGCAAACTGTGGGATGGTTCACTCTGCTCCCTGTTCGCTGTCAGTGCCTTTACTATATTACAATGAGCTCACTTTTTCCACAACCATTAAAATGTGTGAGGCTTTCCAAAAGCTGTTCTCCTGTCAAATGCAGGCAAAGCAAAAAAAAAAATAAATAAAAAATAAAAAATATCACATGATATCCGAGCGGCAATTTAGGACTTAAATTGCATCAGAAAAAAAATATACTGATTTGGTTTACAGGAGTTGACTCCAACTCGATCACCTTAGCAGAAATATCCCTAGGACTTTTCTCCCATTAACTCATCAATAAATCTAATTGACCAAAAAAAACTACAAGTAAACGTGGACGAGTCAACTGTGTCTTTGAGCTCTTAAGATACAGCTCCTAAATTTCTTTCCGTTGTTACTGAACATGAACTTGAAAAACACAGATTGATTGATAATGTAGTGCAATCCGGTCACACAGAGCCAGTAGCTTATGTCAAAACGACAGATGGCATTTAAACTACTCTGCATAGCTTTTTGAAACGAAACCCCTGATGGGAGAATCTCTGATGACAATCCATAACCACAAGCAAGCCTACAGTTAATAACTTTATATCGAGTTAGACATTTCACATGTTGGTAGTTTAATTTGCTAATACATCATTAAAATTAAAAACCCCGAACAGCTAAACAAGCTCACCTCAGAGTCGACATGTTTTCCCAACACAACAATGAATTTAGTACACGTGAAACCAACCAGTCAAAATAAAATAAAAAAAGAAGCACATCTGGATCTCCTTTCAATCGTCTCTTATCTGGAAATGCTTTTCATCTTTGATCAGCAGTGCCAGTATTCCCTCCAGTTTTGGCCTGAAGGGTATTTTCCTGTTAAGTACATTTGACAACCTCTGAACGATTAATCTTTTCCCTTTTCGTGGAGTCTGAAGCGAAACGTGAGTTTGTCTAGATACATGTTGTTTCCTTATCTGTTCAGAAGGATAATGCTGTTGATACTGTTCATGCTGTGCTGCTGTGACGGCAAGTCTAGTGTCTTTCCTTAGTTCAATTTAAGATTTTTTCCAAGAAGAGGCCTTCATTGATAGATTAAGCCTCTCCTGGTGCTTCCTGATGTGTTTATTATGAATATATCATGTTCTGTTCTTTCTTTTATCTGTATTTATGCTTTGCTACTGTTTCTGTTGTTCTTTTTCATCATCATTACTGATGATTCTTTTATGTATTGACTGTCTAATCTGGTTTTGTGAAGTGTTCCTGTCCAGGCAATGGTAAAAGCTTTCATAGATCTGGTTCAACTGGCATTGTATGACATCAATCAGCAAGACAGTATTAAAAAAGTACATAATAAATGTACTTTTGCTTTTTCATCTTGAGACTAAAAGGTCTTGTGACACTGGTCACTCACATGTAGCAGTGTGCTGTCACTGTGTTGTACTTGTGTATGAGGTGGTGTACTGGAGGTAGCTTTTGATCCACAACAGATTACATGCAGGAAACTAAGTGTTTTAGGCCAGAAATCTAATTACCTGGCAACACAATCACTTGGCATTGCTCAAAAGCCCTATTAGCCCCCTGCTGATATATATTGGTCATTTAGTTTTATGGGGCAGTAAAAATCTCATAATTTACGCTGACTTTACACTAGATGCTATTTGAAGCAAAGTGAGAGTTTCAGACAAATTTCCAAGTGGAGTCATTTCTGCATAAAATCACAGAGGTTCCTTTTACAGCTCTCATTATGTAAGCCTTAGCCTAAACTGTAACCATTACAGGAAAAACATTTCATAATATTGAAATTTATCAGTCTAGCTCAAAACATTAGGATGTTTACCTTCTGATGAAATGACTAAAGACGCAATAAATGATTTGTATTCAGGCCTGTACCTGTAGGACTAAAAACTATAAGTGGCTGTTTAGATGTTAGGGATTAACATGCAAAGACGACTTCAAATATCACATCACATTTTTGGTTTCTCTTATTTTTAAGAAGTGACAGTGCTTAGTTAGACAGTTTGAGTTGAGTGCATTAAAAGGGACAAGGCTCAGGCCAGGCCCAGAGTTTATTCTAAAATAAACCACCAACTCTTCTTCGCAGTTCTCAGAGAAGAGAAGATGGGAATAGTCAGACCTCCCTCTGAGTTAGCTATTGAATGCGGCCCAAGAAAAAGAAATAATCCAAGCTTCTAAAAATGTGTAAACCATAGCAGGTATATATGTCTTTAAGATATTATTTTGACTGTAACCAGAGTCTCTGGTATGAGTTATTGCCTTACTGACCTGTGAAAAGTGGGTCACACAGTAGGAGAAAGGAGCGAGAGTAGAAATAAAAAGGTATTGGAGGCACGGTAACTGAAGACTGACAGAATTTACAGATATGGAGCCAAACTAAGGGTCTGACAGCAATAGAAATCATGTAGCACCTGAAGAATATGCTGGCCATGTGGAACATGTGCGTAACATACAGGGTGGAAATGTAGCTATGTGAATAAAATACTAACCACAATATAAAGCTTTAATAGGGAGCTAGATCCCCTGAACAAAAAGGTACTCTGTACAGTAGTTGCTGTAAAGCAGTGACTGAGAGTAATTGTTAGAAGCATGAAAAACTTTCCTCTTTCATTCAAATGAAGCTCTAGCCAAAGTTCAGTCAAGACCAAAATTTTCAAATGCTTAGGCCTGTAATTTATTTCCCATACCAGCTGGCATTCGCTCCTCACACACATGCTCACTCACAATGTCCTGCTGTCAGTGTCTGGGGCTGTCAATTGAGATATCTGCTGTTTTATCAGGTGATCACATTTAACCAATAGCACAGTGACACACATTCATTGTTAGCCTATCATCTTATGGCTGTCTTTTTAAATATGACTCTCTATCTGCCTTTAGTGCGTTTATGTTGCAGTTCTTTGCACCGTCTAACTCCCCATCATCGCCTCATCAGCCTATTAGTCTCATCAGCCACCACCACCATCTCCAGTGTCTAGACTCTTGCTGCTGCACAGGGCAAACGGCACTTGATTACAAAAATCTCCCTGTAGAATCTAAATGCCTGAGTCTTTCTGTCAAATCTTAATCATCACATACTGTCCATTAATCTGTACACCTATTTTCTCTATTAAACAATTAACTTTACTTAATTTACCTATCAGCCTATCATATCAGGCTGCAGACCAGCGTTCAAGACCAACAAGATATCGCTACCTTTTAGGATAGTGCCACGAAAGTGATTGTTCTTTGGAAATCAAATTGGAAAATTGGATTGGTCAAGGCCTCACAGTCCCCAGTGTCTCACAGAAACTAGCAAAAGGAGCTCTAAAAAATAAGACTGACATTAATGCTTAATGTGCTATGAAATGTCGAAATGGGTTGATGTCTTGCAGCAGTCATGAATACTGATAGATGAGCAGCAGGTATTTTTACATAAATCAAAACCTGTCTCTCCTTTTGAAATTTTAGACATTAGCGATATCTTCGGACAAATGAAGGTGCCCCTTGTCTATGGTTACAGAAAAACTTGCACAAAATGTTAGTGTGTTAGTTCCATCTGTATTTTTATGCTCCTTATATTACTGATTTATTTAAATAAAAATAAATAAATAAAAATAATAAAACTGACTTGAACTCACATACAAAGCGAGTTTTGAACATGCAATTGAGGCCATTCATCGCCAATAGCTACTTTAGTAGTCCCCTGGTATCCTCACTATAAAACAGCTTAATTCGGGCAACAGCACTTCAGACAAGTGACATCATGCATAAAGTAATGGCAGCTGATTATCATCATCTCAAGAAGCCAAGAGTCCAGGTTGACTTCATGATTATGTAACGTGGCAGTGTGACATGACAACAGATATCTATCTGCCCTCACAGTTCTTTTTAAAAGAGCTGCATCTGACTCGTGCCAGACTTACAATGGAAGAACATTCACCTTTCCAGAAATTGCAGAGGTTTATGGTGTAATTTGTATATAATTCTGCAGATATCCTTAAGAATATAGAGATGCATGGGGGCAGCATAGTGGGTTGCCCTAGTCCGTAAATGTTTGTGGTTTTTGGTCTGACACTGCAGTCACGCAGCACCTCTGGACTCCCCTGAAGCCCCCCTACATAGTCTGGCACTGGCAGCTCCCTTCACTCCAGCTGTGAGAGCCTATCTAATGCCAGCTTTCTCAGCAGTAGCTCTCTGCAAGAGCAACATGTAAACCACAGTATACTGTACTGTAGTCTCCAGCAGAATAGTTTCTTGCTGCCAGGTCCTAATGATACACCAAAGAACCACAAATAGGCTCACTTTACCAAGGAATCCACGACTGCAAGAAGAAACCGTGCAACACACTGAGCTAATGACAATTTATCAGTCTAAATGTGTTGTACTCTGACTGCTGCATAATTTGAGGTACCTGTCTAAGTTGCAAATGAGATGTGAAGGGAATTTCATTATAAATGTCACATCTATGGATGGATTATAAGACAGTGGGCCCCTGGGCACAGATATACAAAATGCCCTACCACCTCTTCTATAGGAACAAGACGCACAGACTTTGTAGTTATTGTTTTGTGTCTTTGTAGATATTGTGTGTCTCTTTGTGGTTGTGTTGCCTCTCTTTGTAGTTATTTTGTGTCTCTTCCTGGTTGGTACATGTTCATTTGAGTAACACTTTGCAGATGGAGGCCAAGGCATTCCCTGAAACTTTGGAACCCTGGCCTTATGCCCGACAGGCCCGTTAATCAATCCATGGCCACATCAACAACCCCCGCAATGCAAAGCACGGAATCTTTTCCATCCTCAACATTTACAGATAATGAGCAGGTTCTGCTGTTACTTCTTGTGTTAGCCAAATAGACTTTCTATAAACCTACATTAAGCACAACTTAAGAGAATCATCTTTGTCCAAGCAAAACAGACATCGAGCCAGACATGGAGTGAACTATAAAATGGGTCATACTTTTAAAACCAAACAGCAGTAGCTCCCTTTATATTTTATGTGCATGAGCCTAAGTGAGAGGGGAGTGTGTGTTCAGTTGCTGACCTTTCTTTTTAGGATGCTCGGACTCCTTCTTCTTTAACTGAGCATTCAGGGGAGATTCAAGCAGCGGAGGAGAACTGAAAACAAGGGAGGGGTGAAATGGGGGAAAGAGTTACTGGAAATGAAGGAGCAAAGCATTTTCCAGTGTAGTGGATTGTTAGTTCTTCTAATTCTCAGTACTATGATACAGTTGACTCGTGAAAAGCCAGATGGCAAGAATGGTTATAATATGCTAAGTTAATGTGGAAATGTCAGAGTCAGAGGGAGTTACAGGCAGGACAACTGGAGAACAGACCACACTTACTGTATATGTCCTATTGCTGGTGAGGTCAGGTGACCAGTGTCTGAGAGAAAGCAACTTAAGTCTACAGCTGCACTGTTTTTGCATATTTTAACAAGCTGACATGATTGTGCCTCGGCTCATAAATCGCACATTTGTTAAAGTAGAAAAACACATAACGTTGATGAAATTATCAGTATTTATTGGTGCTGCTGGATTTTGCTAAATAATCGTTTATGGAGGTACAGGTAATACCTGAATGAATTTCATTCCTTCCCAGAGGACAATTTTAAAATGTTGGCATTTATAAAGCGATGTTATTGTGAGAGTAATAAGTATGATTCTCTGGATTAGGGAGTACATCCAGTTCGGACAGCTTTATTAAACTAATGTGGATTTAAAAGCTTAGACGTATAAAAAATGTTCACAGAATTTAGTCATTCACTGAGCAGAGCAGTTCCTGGCTGGAACCAATGATTACGTGAGCTACAGAAAAGCAGTTGTTTTTCTCTTGTGTCTTTTGTGGGCTGTTTCCTGATATGGAATGAGCTACTGCCACTGAATAAACAAACAGAATAACTGAATATAATTTACAATACAAGTGGCTGAGAATATACCAATGTTGCATCCCAGAATATTTGCCTTTAACTCCTGGCTTACCTCGGGAACACTGAAAAACCTTCACCGCATGCCCAGGCCCTCTCGAGGTCACACAGACGTAACTCCAACAGGACCACACATGGAGTGAGCAAGGAGCTCACTAAAAACACCATCTGTGTGACAGGGAATTTGATGGTTAATTATTATTTAAACTATTTTGATCCATAACTGTTTCAAAACAGAAATTAAAAATATATGTTCATGAATAATGTTGAGGAAAGTAGAGACAATGGTAAGTCAGGGTGTTTACGCTGTGCTAAACCACATAATTGCTCCTCTGTTGGAACAGAAAAACATAATTTTCCTTCAGGAGGCACACAACATTCAAATCTAGTAAAAACATAAATCCCACAGAGTGGATGGTGAAAAAATAAAATAGTAATTGCAGCACTATAAAAATACCAAAGGTTAAGTAGAGGAGCACCTTCAGACATTCACAATTAGTATAGGAAACAAATTTTTTAAATAAATTCAATAAACTTTTCTTGTAACTGTAAACTGGCAAGTTTTACCACAAATGGCAAAAGCAGCCAGGCCTAGACAATCGTCAGCAAGTGGTCTGACTCAAAGGAACATGCCAACATGAAACAAATCTAATTAGGGATCGATCACAAGCATCCTTAGTCCACACAACAACTATATCACAGGCCAATTCAATGATAGAGGTCAAGCTGAAAGGACAATTCAGTGCATTGTCTTCTTGTGACTTATCAAAATATAATTGGAGTTACTCACAGAGTTATCCCACCCTGGAGAAATTGACCATGACCCAGCCATTGCGATACTCAAGCCGGGGTAATCTAGAAGAATGAACATCAGGCATGAGTTTGGTGTCAGTAAATTCCCATAAGACATCAGTGTTTCTTATAAAATTTCTGCTAAAACGGAGTAATGGTGCACATAAATGCTTAAACATACTACAGCAGTACAGTAGCAACTGGAGAAGTCACACTACCAGCAGCCTACCTTTGAAATATAGTGCTGTTAGGAGCTCTGAGGAAGCCAGATCCACCACATACAGGCCATCTGAGCTTCCAATACATAACCAGCTGTTGTCCCTGCAGAGGCCCGCACAGAAAAGTATGGAAAAACAGCATTACAGGATTTCCCTTAAAAGCAGATTTTTCAGATCATTTGGGGAAAGACAATGTAATCACATACTAAAGAAAAACATACTGATGTGATGGAGTGGCAAGGCACGCAGTCACCATAAGACTATAGGTTTTTATTCAAGTTTCCTCTGACTTCATGTAGTCTAAACTATGAACACGCAGCAAGATGGAAACTACTGCCAGGCAGAGCAGAAAGCTGAGTCTGAAGGATCCTTTTCATCCACTTCCTGCACTGAGCTGCATGCTGGGGCTATAATATTGTTACACAAATTTTACTCTTTAGTGCATCATTATTTTCATGCTGAGCGTGTGTTTCTGTACAGGATGGAGACAATTACAGCCATTGTGTGTGGAAATTTATGTGATTATTGCACTGTTCAAATTGTTAGTAAGCCACAATGTCTTTCTTCATTTTACAACTAGGGGGCGCCAAAGTAGGAACATTAACATTAGCAATGAAGCTGTTAGTATTTTGAATAAATGTACTGGAAATTTCAGATGACAAAGACCCACACAAAAGTAGATGGCATGTTGCATACTCAGGTGAAAAAGTCATGTTATTTGATGGTGAAGTGTAGTTTTAGTCTACAAAGAAATTATTGTTTTAAAAACAATTTGAAGTATCAGGAGGACCATTTTTTGTCCTTGGGCATATCATACACTGATAATCTTTTGTACTTTATTTTAACAGTAAACAGACTTCTGTGAGGTGTGTACCCAACTCTTCCAGCTGCATATTTATTACATTAATATACCTGAGCAAAATTGTTTTAATTGTTAAAGCCAATCAAATAGAATCCAGGAAAATGTATTTGATAAATTAGACTGGATAACATATTTGTTTGGGTCAAAGTAAAGATGTAGATGATGTAAATACTGCTCTGAGATCATATGCTTTCCTTAGAACAAGAAGGAATCAACGTCCATTTCATTCCAGTGGTTCACAAAACACACAGACAGTTATGTCTGTGCTTTTTAAGTGCCTGCTTCCTGTCATAACATCAAATGTTTTAACAGCCTGAAACAGTTTATCCTACAAGCCTGCAAAGTTTCCTGTGATGTGTGAAGTTTCCTCTGACGTTTTCTGTCACTGTGTGGACACGTGCAGCGAGTAGCCCATAAAAGATGTGGCGTTTAGTTCACGAATGATTTCCAGACTTGTGTGACAGTATGACATGTAGTTTTAATGGCAGAAATGTGTAGCTATGTATTGCTTTTTCATGACAACTGTGTTTGAATTGCTTTTGCAATACTTTCCTGGATCACGTACAATTTTTTACCTTGTGGAAATAGGAACAAAATTGAGCCCCTGAGAATGGCCAGAGTGTTGACAGTATCATGTCTTGCTTCAACATTAAGATTCCTTGTCACAAATGAGGTAAAACAGTTCTTCCTCGTGGTTAAGTCACATGATAGGGTCCATTAATCATATTTGAGCACTTGAGAGTGAGGTCTCTATGCTGATACTTTGAAGTCCACCTTGGACCATGTGACTTTTCCCTATGCATGCATCCATCCATCCATCCATCCATCCATCGTGTAACTGCTTTTTTAGGCTTGCCAGTTCAAAGGAAATGTTCCTGGACGTTAGACAACATTAACAAATAGCATCAGGTTATCACTTCTGTAATTACTACAACTAAACACAATCTATGTGGTATTGCCCATCGCTGGGTGAAGAGTATCCTGTGGTAACCATGCCCAGAAAACAAAAACAAGTTTCTCAGTATTTATGAATTCTACAAAGATTATTCACTTACTTTTCACGATCACTACTGGTGCCAGTGAATGAGCAACAAAGAGCCATTCTGAGGACAGGTTTTGAAGTCTCTACGTTATCGACAGCTGATCGTTCTGCCAACTCTGGAAGAAAATATCAAAATAGAAGTGTAAAAATATTTAATTCTAACTGATATTTTCCTTCAGTCATGTTGCTGAAAAGAGATAAAGGATTTATGAAATCGAATTTGACCAAAATCATTCACAAAGCCTATGGTAGATATACTCTCTCTGCATTCCCAATGGCATGCTTTTTCTTTTACAATTGATATATACAACTTCATCCTAACACTGACCCTCCGAACTTTGACCCTCTTGCTTAACATTATTACTTAACATTACCTTGGAGATACAAAAGTGTTCAAGTTGAGTTTAACTTTTAAGTAATAACGGCATACCTCGTAAATTCTAGCATGCAGTATTATATTCACACACACAAAAAAAACCCCATCATATATAAACAATTCCTATGCCTAATATTACTGTCTATTCAACTGGTCATTAGTCACTTGAATGTGGTGTCATCTGTCATTGTAGCTCCTGTCAGCTGTCAATAAGCTGTGATCTATTTACAGCTCAGTCGATGTGACGTTTCTTCCACTGTACAAACGACTGTGGGTCAGAATAGCCAAAAGAGCATGCTGGTTTGCGCACTGCAAAATGCAACAGGATGCAGTAAGACATTCTGTATTTTTGGCATACTGCATTTGACATACTATGTTTTGGAACATACTGAATTCTTTTCTGTCATATTAAATAGTAGGGCAGTGTAGTAAACAGTATGGCAGTATGGAAAACTGGAACGCACAGAGCCTCACTGTTTGTTTAATAGACCAGTGACATCACCTGCTTGATGGCTCACAGTCCCTTTGTGCATTTGATGTCTTTTTTCCATCTTCTGGAGGTCCATTTTGGTCACCAGGTCACACGTGTGGTCATCAGGGAGAGAAAAGCACCACAGCTAAACCAAACAGGTAGAGTTGTGTTACACAGCATGTGGAATTTCTTCTCTGATAGTGATTATGAGCTATCGGTCTGTGTGCCTCAGTGACTAACCTGTCCATCAACTGAGCCAGTGATAAGGTGCTTGTTCTCCTCCAAAAACAACACACTGAGCAGTGGAAAGGCTAAAGAATTGAAGAGAGAGAGAGAATAGGATATTTTCAATCATTTTGCAAGGCAGCAGCCACCATATAAAACATGACACTAAATTATTTTATTTATTACTCCTAAAGTTTGAACAGATTGTAGTCAGGCCGCACCATTACTTAAAGATATAAATATGTATGCTTGTAGTTATATCACACACTAACAGATCCCAATTTCAAAGAGATCACACTAATTCTGCTATCTCTGCTATACAAAGTCAATGAACTCATGCCTTTATGTGCATGAATGTCAAATGAATGATTAATGTTATAGACAGGGAAATTAATTTCCTCCAGCAAGATTTGTAACAGTGATATCATACCAGAAAGCACAAAAGACTGGTAGCAAACAGCTTCGGTTTTTAAATCCCACACCTGAAAAGAGACATGGAAAAATACTTTCTAGTTATTTAAACTCAGTTACAGGGCGTGCAGTATTTGGCATTTGGTATAAATCATAAGTGTGAATATTTTTGAGTGTATCATTTGGGAATTATAATTCAGTACCTTAAAAGTGCGGTCCTCTGATGTGGTAACAAGAATGTCTTTATTCCAGGGAGAGAACTCTGCGGATGTTAAAGGTCCAAGATGGCTGGTCAAGGTAGAGATCACATCATACTCCTATTGTGGAAAACAACAATAAAACTTGGATAAGGTGGAGTGGCCTGTAATCGCTATAAAACCATTATGACCACACAATATCACATATCTTTTAATAAGGATGCATTGTGACACATTTCCAATAACTCATAGGAAAATGCAACAAAGTACAGTATTTAGGTACGGTATTTGCAATCCATGAAAGTAATCGATAGTAACATACCGAGCCAACACATGAGCCCAAATGTATTCTGTGAATGTTTATGTGCACCAAGGAAAACTGTAAAAATGTGCAATATCTTGTACCTTTGAGCTGAGAATATATACAGTTGTTCCTGAGCATGCTGCCACTCGTTGATCAGAGAAGCAGAATGAAACGTGGACGACTTCACCCAGTAAAGTCCCGATAACTCTTCCCGCTGCAACTTTACCTGCAAACAAATCAATTAGTCTGTTTATATTCAAAGCAGATGAAGTTCATGACCACAGTAAACATAAATGACCTATCTGGTAATATTTCACTAGATGGCAGGCTTGTTAAGATTTTCACTCAGGGAAATGATCATGCTTGGTGCAGCATACATGATATGACATGTGCCACATGGTTGCTCCATAATTAAGCGGAGAAGACAACTGACCACATTTGGACTCTTTATTTCAATGCACTGCAGACATACAGAATTATTTCCTCACCCGCCTGTGTTTTCTTCTGGCACAGTTCAATATCCCAGACAATGATATAGTCAGCAGAGGCAGAGCAGAGGAGAACAGGTCCACTTCGTTTCCCAAAGGTCATGGCAATGATCTCACCATGGTGGCCAGTTAGCAGCAGAGGCTGGGGAAAAACAGACTCATTAACAATACATTATGATGTGTTCATTGTATCTGTGGCTCCTAGATGATTGATGATTGAAGTCATTAAGAAAGTCATTTTCTCCATCTTAAAAAAAAAGAAATATAAATTTAATCACCAGGCCTACATTGATAAACACTTTGTTTTCCCAGATTGTGGCCTATTTTGTAAATATTAAGTATTACTTTTGTCAGAATTTTAAAATAATGTGTCATATGACATATAACATTCAGCCTATATTTACAAAACAAATTGGCTGTAGCTAATGTTAAAAATAATGTAAAAAGGCATGTTCAGATACACAATACACACGAGGACTAATACTAACCTAGTTATCCCTCACTACAAATGCAGTGTAGCTAGCATAGCTAGCTAACGTTAGCTAATGACATTCCTAATAAAAAAAATAAAACTTAGAGAGTGTTTTATGCAAACAAGTAACAAAAACAAACCTGCTGCTCTACGTCCATGATACTGTAAATCAATATTTCCTTGCCATGCATTGGTATAGCACAATAAGAGTGACAGCATGCTAGCTGACAGTGTGACAGGAGTCTATCACAAGTTAAACTGAGCTTCTCAATCACCATCTTTTCTCCTGTCAGAAAAAACGTCGGTGTAGTGCGTTGCCGCCAACGAATATAGCGTTAATTAACTTCGAAAACGCGGAGTCATCTTTAAATACATGCTGTATTTCATTTACTTCTGTTTTATAAGAGAGAGAGAGATAGAGAGGTAGTTTCTTCTTCGCCCAAGTTTCAGGTGGACATGGACAGACGCCGGTTGCTAGGACACCGACGTCTACATCAATTTCCGTTACAACAGATCGTCTATAACAAAGCGACATTTCACACACAAGTTAAAAAACTAACCTTGTAAAGGTAAATGTGCGCTACCTCTCAACTTGTTTCTTTGATAAAATAAGCATCATCAACACTTCAGTTATTTTGAATGTTTTCAGCATTACACTTTACTAGGCCTGGGGGTACATTTATTTGTTTTGAGTAGCGGTGAATTATTTGACCTCACTGGTACTTGGAAGTACGGTCAGAGTGAGACTCTGTATCAGATTAATGTGTTCTTGCTTCTTGTATCTCTGCATTTGACCACAAGGTGGCGCCCACTGCTCACCTGTAGTACCTGTAAAGTGGCATTTTATCTTCTATACCATACATCACTACAGTAGCCTAGTGAGAATGTATTTTCTGTTTATTTTCCATTAGAGTTCCATCATCAGACTGTAATTTGTGCCGTTTGTACTTTGTTATCAGTGTTATAAAGGTCAAAATTCGTTACTGAAAGAAGGTTTATTAAAAAGACTACAGTAATTAAATTAAAATCATAATATATATGGAACAAAAAAGAAAGTACTGCAAAATATGTCTTTCTCTCTGAGGAGTGGGGGAGTGTGTTAATTGTATTATTATCATCTTTATAAGTAATGACAATACAGCAATACTCTGCAATTATTCTTTTTGTGATCAATTTTTTATTGGCCATGTTTTCCTTTTTCTTTTCTTTTTTTTTAAAACAAAAAACCACAAGAAAACGAACATTAATACAAGACACAAAAACAATAAGGATACACCAATGACAAAAAAAACACAAGAACCACAAAAACTTATATAAGCATACACACACATGCATGCACCATGCATACGGGCCACTGACATCTCCATACTAGCCAAGTCCACTACTGAGGATACCCATTTTTGAAAAGACAAGATGTGAGGAGCTTTCCATTTTGTTTTTTGTCCTTGTCTTGTCTCTGCAATTATTCAAGTGTACTATATTCTTCCCACTCATGACTGTTTAACCACTCCTGAATGTATATGTAACATTTATTGCACACATTGTATATTGTATATATTCTTATTCCTACTGATGGATATATTGAGTTGTATTTTGTAGTGTTGTACAGATAATTTATATTTCTAACTCTACATACTAGTTTTATACAGTGTAAGGCACATATTTTTATATATATATATATATATATACACTGCTCAAAAAAATAAAGGGAACACTTAAACAACACAATGTAACTCCAAGTCAATCACACTTCTGTGAAATCAAACTGTCCACTTAAGAAGCAACACTGATTGACAATCAATTTCACATGCTGTTGTGCAAATGGAATAGACAACAGGTGGAAATTATAGGCAATTAGCAAGACACCCCCAATAAAGGAGTGGTTCTGCAGGTGGTGACCACAGACCACTTCTCATTTCCTATGCTTTCTGGCTGATGTTTCGGTCACTTTTGAATGCTGGCGGTGCTTTCACTCTAGTTGTAGCATGAGACGGAGTCTACAACCCACACAAGTGGCTCAGGTAGTGCAGCTCATCCAGGATGGCACATCAATGCGAGCTGTGGCAAGAAGGTTTGCTGTGTCTGTCAGCGTAGTGTCCAGAGCATGGAGGCGCTACCAGGAGACATGCCAGTACATCAGGAGACATGGAGGAGGCCGTAGGAGGGCAACAACCCAGCAGCAGGACTGCTACCTCCGCCTTTGTGCAAGGAGGAACAGGAGGAGCACTGCCAGAGCCCTGCAAAATGACCTCCAGCAGGCCACAAATGTGCATGTGTCTGCTCAAACGGTCAGAAACAGACTCCATGAGGGTGGTATGAGGGCCCGACGTCCACAGGTGGAGGTTGTGCTTACAGCCCAACACCATGCAGGACGTTTGGCATTTGCCAGAGAACACCAAGATTGGCAAATTCGCCACTGGCGCCCTGTGCTCTTCACAAATGAAAGCAGGTTCACACTGAGCACATGTGACAGACGTGACAGAGTCTGGAGACGCCGCGGAGAACGTTCTGCTGCCTGCAACATCCTCCAGCATGACCAGTTTGGCAGTGGGTCAGTAATGGTGTGGAGTGGCATTTCTTTGGGGGGCCGCACAGCCCTCCATGTGCTCGCCAGAGGTAGCCTGACTGGCATTAGGTACCGAGATGAGATCCTCAGACCCATTGTGAGACCATATGCTGGTGCGGTTGGCCCTGGGTTCCTCCTAATGCAAGACAATGCTAGACCTCATGTGGCTGGAGTGTGTCAGCAGTTCCTGCAAGATGAAGGCATTGATGCTATGGACTGGCCCGCCCGTTCCCCAGACCTGAATCCAATTGAGCACATCTGGGACATCATGTCTTGCTCCATCCACCAACGCCACGTTGCACCACAGACTGTCCAGGAGTTGGCAGATGCTTTAGTCCAGGTCTGGCAGGAGATCCCTCAGGAGACCATCCGCCACCTCATCAGGAGCATGCCCAGGCGTTGTAGGGAGGTCATACAGGCACGTGGAGGCCACACACACTACTGAGCCTCATTTTGACTTGTTTTAAGGACATTACATCAAAGTTGGATCAGCCTGTAGTGTGTTTTTCCACTTTAATTTTGAGTGTGACTCCAAATCCAGACCTCCATGGGTTAATAAATTTGATTTCCATTGATAATTTTTGTGTGATTTTGTTGTCAGCACATTCAACTATGTAAAGAACAAAGTATTTAATAAGAATTTTTCATTCATTCAGATCTGGGATGTGTTATTTTAGTGTTCCCTTTATTTTTTTGAGCAGTGTGTGTGTGTGTGTATGTATGTGTGTATATATATATATATATATATATATTTTTTTTTAATATTACACACTTTACATAATCAGCACATTGTACATATTTTATATTTTATATATTTTACATACCATTGTTGATATTGCAGTACATTGCATATATCTTATTTTATATATTTTACATACCTTTTGCTTATACTTCTTATTTCTACTTCTCAAATTCTCTAAGCTTTACATGAGAGTTATGTCCCCCAGGGTCAATAAAGTATGTCTGATTCTGATTAAATTACATTACATGCTTGTGTGCATGTATGTGTTTTGTGATTAATTTATTGTTTGCAGTCACAGTTCATAGTAACAGTTAGTCAAGAATAACTAACTCCAGTAAAATGCCCGGTGAAATATTGTTTTTCCTAAATAATTAATACTTCCTGAGCAGCTATTCCAGCCGAAACAAACAGCAAATGAACGTTACAGTAGTATAAAGGGCTTCAGAGGACACGGGGTCCTGGGTCTTAAGTGGATTTCAAGTTATCCTGTTTAAAGGATAAACAGTTATAAAAAGCATGAATGGAGAGGGGGATGCTGGGAAATGCAGTTCTCCCAGCAGCTAGCGGATATGACGGCGGTGTTGTGTAGCTTGTAGCTGGGTGTCGTCTGCCGTCTGCTTTGCCGTAGTTGGATGAATCAGTCGACGTTGACAGTCCTTGGGATATGACTGTGCTTTTGTAGTAGAGAGCTAACTTTAGCTAGACCGTTAGCTGGTCGTCAGGTTTGTAGGATTACGTTAGCCGAAAGAGAGGAATTCGAGTGCCAACGCGTTCTCGGGACAAATTCGTGATTTTCGTTAGCCTTAATATTTTTAAAAGATGGCACCGGTAACGTTAATGTTTTCTGGTAAAGGAAGCTAACTTAACTTAAGCTAGATGGCTAGCTAGCGTGTCATCAACTTGTGAATCCCATAACTTAGTCACTGTGTGGGCCATAACAACCTTAACGATTCATCGGAGCGGGTAGCTAGCTGGGGAATAGCTAGCCGATATATTAGCCAAGTAGCGAACCAGCGTGAAACAGAAAGAAGTTAAACAAAGTAACGTTTAAATTTGCTAGCATAGTGAGGTTAGCCGGTTGGATTTTGTAATATGAAAAAGGCGCAGTCTGACAAATTGGGGTTTGTTCCTCAAAAAGACATCGTATACAACAAACTTCTGCCGTACGCAGATAGGCTAGATGATGAGTCCAATGATATTTTGAGCAAAATAAAGGGAAACTTGTGCCGAGCTGTTCAGCTCAGAGAAATATGGCCCGGCGTGCTCTTTTGGACAAGGAAACTTTCCACGTAAGTAACTAGCTTATCTTTGGGACCCTCACGTAAAATTGATGTTAACAGTTGTTGATAACCTCGTGACGTTTTCAATCCCTAGTCTCTTGAAGTAACCAAACTTTTGCGTAACATAACTTCTTGTGCAACATTTCTCTGTGTACTTTATGTATTTGACTGAAGGGCATCATTGAAGATGTGATGTTTGCAAGTCTAAGTAGTCACAACTGTAATGTTTTACACTCTAGTCAATGGCAGATTCGGAAACTCCTCTAAAAGCCTGTATTGTTTTATTACCTAACGTCGGTTTGTTATGTTTTATGGGTGAAGTGTTACCTAAGTGTTCGCTGTTTATGCTTTGAAACTACAAACTACCCAGTGTTTCTGATTAGAGACGGGCTGGGTTTCATAATCGGGGCAATAGAAGTCAAACACACAACCTGACCCAGGCAGTCCAGCACAATAACAGGCCATTACATATGCAATTGAAAATGTCAAAGCTGGCCACAACACCACCTGATGTTTTCTCTTTGAATAAGCCAGTCAGGTGACAACAATAAATATCTCAAAATAGCAATAACAAATTCTGATTTAATGGACTCATGAGTTTCCTGTGAAGCTGATAACACCCAGCTGATATGCAGTGCCATTTCTGTTGAGAGTAGTATCATGGGTCATCTGTTGAATGTTTCCTGCTCATCAAAGAAGTCCAGGCAAACTTGTTTATAATAACTTTACTGGAGACAGTAAATCACACAATCATATGTTACCCCCCCTTTGCATTTATCTTTTATCTACTTGGTTATGTGTCACAT